CTTTTATCATTACAGTACCTACATTTGTTTTGTTCTTTTCTATAGTTGCTTTCCCCTTTGAGAAAACTATATTGATATCAGATTCTCTGCTTAATTTTATGGCACACTTAGTATGTTGTGAGGTATTTCTGGGATTAATAATACCCCCTCTATTTTCCCTAGACCAGGCAAGGTCACATTTCCTTTGCCTAGTACTTGAACCTTTTCTTGATTAGCTACCTTTATCACAAACTTATCTTCTATAAATGAAGATAATATACTTTTGTTGTTGGTGGTGTGATTTGTTGCACCAGAATCAATAAGCCAATTGTTATTCTCATCCTGCTGTGTTCTGTTGCTGTCTTGTTTATTTAGCCCATTCAGTGACCCAGATTTCCTCTCTTTTGAATTTTCTCTACCCCCTCTACCTTCTTTGTAATTTGGTGGGCTTCTATATTTGTGTCTATCTGTGGAAGATTGTCTGTAATTATATTTGCTCCTATATTCTGGTCTATGTCTCTCTCTTGAGACTTTGGGGCAGGGCAGTCTCTTCTACTATGTTCCCTGGATCCACAATTGTAGCATCTAAAGGCCTCATTATGTTTATCTTGAAAGACTACTTTCCTAAAGGGTTTGTGGTCTGTTTGGTTACTGGATCGATTTTTTCTTGAATTGTCTTCTGCTATCAATTTGTTAGATAGACTTTCTATGGATAAATATCCCAAATTAATGGTATCTAAGTGTGACATAAAGCTATCCCATGATGGATCAAGTGAATTGATAATAACACTTTTCATTGTTTGATCTGAAATCACTTCCCCCTCAATTGTAGCTCAGCTCTTATTTTGTTTAGATTTATCAAATGCTCACTTATAGAAACCCCTGGTTTTACTCTAGAGGAAAAGAAATCCTTAGACATTCTTGTGGTTGTAGCTACGCTATCGCTGTGAAATAGATTAAACATGCATTGAATTATTTCTGATACAGTTAGGTTTGGTTTGATGCTATGATACATTGCAGGAGACACGCTAGATATTATTATGAAAAATGCTCTATGATGTAAACAATCTATTTTTAAAGTCCAAGGTCTTCTTGGAGGGCTAGTTATAAAGAATAGTAAATTTTCTTTCATGAAAATAACCTGAAGCTGTTGATACCACTCTTGTAAATTAATGCCATCAATTCTAAGTTTTGGGAAGTCACTGGGTAAGTTACCTACATTATTCTGTCCATTACTTACAACCTGGGGCAGTCCGTGATCTCTCAAGTGCAGGAAATTACAGAACGGCATTGGGATGCTTGCAATGAGTCTGCGCGGTTCTCTGGCCAGTTCAAGTCCTTCTGGGTCGTCTACGTAGTTTCGCACATGCGCGTTGTTCATTTCTTCTTTGGTGGCGTCGTGGAAGGTTCTCTCCCTTTCAGCTCTCTCGATCCGCTCCTCCTCAGATGAGTCGGTCTCTGGCTCGGTTTTTGGGGTTCTGGTGGTGGTGACGGTTCTTTTCTTCTTTTTGTGTGCGTTGGTATTCGATTTTGTCTGTGGTGTAGGGCGAAATCGGCATGGCTCTCTGGGCTCGGGCGTCGTCGCTTTCGAAGTCAGGATGGGAGCGTGCAGGTCTTGAGTCGCGGTTTGATTTCTTGCTTCTTCGTAGATGTCTTGGTAATTTTCAGTCTTGGCCCAAAAGCAGCAAAAAGCGTTTTCATTGCTGATTTTACTTGAGATTTTGTTAAATCGTCTTCACTTTCTGATTTTGGATCATCTGAAGAGTTTGAGACTTCTTTCTCACTTTCTTCGTCTGATAGTGTTTTTCGCGCCAGAAATTTTGAACTGAGCGTTTTGATTGGCTCTGCTCCATTCTCTTTTGAAGTTCGTTGAAACCAAGATGGCTGCCATTCAAAATTTCGCGCGGGATCACATCTTTTCTTTTTAACAACTATTTTCTCAGTAGTCATCTCACTTACGATTTTTTGATCTTTGGGTTTTTCTTTAATGACGTTTTTCTCTCTCGCTGCTCCGCTGTTCTTCAGCATCTCCTGGAGGTCCGCGATGAGACTTTCATCATTCTTTTGGCTTTTTAGTATCTTTAATATCTCTGACCTGAGTTCGTTATTTTCTATTTCGATTTCTTTCTGATCATTATTTTCACTCATTAGTTCTTCTTCTTCAGTGGTGTATTCTTCGGATTCTCTCGAAATCGCATTGGTGGATTCGTTGATCATCTCTTGATCAGTTTCTATTTCTTTGCTGTAGGCCCTGGTGTTGGGCCTATCTTTCTTGGACATTTTTAATTACTTATTGAGTCAATTAACCATCCTCTGCTACCAGCTTGTTGCAATATTTTCAGGATATCATCACATAAAGATAAAGATAATAGAAGTTAAAGCTTTAAATATATTTCTTTTTAATTATGATAGGCATTCTATATTCACTGAATATTCGAGGTAGAAGCAACGAGAATGGTGAGGGTGGCTCCTTATATATACAAGGGGTGGAGCTAGGAATGGGAGTGGTAAGTTATGAATACATTAAAGTCCAAAGAATAAGTTAACCTCTGATGTTCCATATATACATTATTTACACATTGGAGAATAAGGCATTTACATCTGACATTAATAATGCTGTTCAACTGTAATTTCCAAAATCTTGTTTTAATATAATAGGCTTTAACCAGAGAGAACCAGTGGTTAAGATACTAGACTAGAAAGCAGGAGATCGTGAATTCTAGTCCCACTTTAGCCTGAAAGTCATCTGGTGACAGCCAAGCCACTCTTTCTCAGCCCAGCTGATCTTACAGGGTTGTTGTGAGGAAAATAGGAAGAGGAAGGTGTGTTGGATATGTTTGCTGCCTTGAGTTATTTTTTAAAATAATAAAGGTAGGATGTAAATAAGTAAATAAAAATAAATAACAGACAATGCAGTATTGTTTATTGCAAAAACCATACTTAAGGTTGCCTCTAATTTCTGACTATTTCTATAATTATGGAATTGGAAAAAGCTTGAAAATCATTGAGCCCAACTTTCTGGCCAGAGTATGACCTATTCACCAACCTGCCCTGCAAAACAGGCTTTGATTTTTCCAGTACTACCTCTAAAATCAGAATTCTCTCTGGAATGATGCATGGTCACTTCAAGCTGAGAGGTTACATTGGAAGAGAGAATTGTGAAAAATTACATTGCCAAACTGGAAGGGTATTTCTGCTTGTATAAACCACATTTGAGAACAAGACATTAAATGGATAAATGGAGGACAGGGTGAATCAAGCTGAGCTATTGTCACCTCTGTATGTTGAACCAAGATGTCCATATGTAACCAGTTCTATGGAATGTTATTTGCCCTGGTCATGATAATTGTTTGTATGAAAATATAAAGAAAGGCTATTTGGTCAAGTAGTGGAAATTAGAGTCTGGCTAGCTGGCAATAACTTTCATTATATCTACATTAAGTGTGAAATTAAATCTGAGGATTCAGTACTCCTAGAATTACTTTGGATGCCATAAAGATAAAAAGAAGTAATACAAAGTGAAACATTAAATAAAATATAAGGGAGAGGATTGTAGCTGAAATATCAAATAGCATATCAATGATATGGCAACAACTGTTTCATAAATCTGCTTGTGATTAAAGGACAGAAAGGAGCATAAATGGATTTGACATAGCAAGTAAAGAAAGTCTGAATGTTGACCAGGTAATAATATCCCAACCTGTGATACTAAGAACCAGCTGTTCTGCCAAGATCCTTTATCTGTAGCTTGTGGTTTGGTAGGATGCATTCAAAGCAGGCAAGTCCTGAATAATCAACTACCTGGGGCAAATATTTGAAAATATACAGTAATTGAAAATGAAAGACCCATTTAATAACATTATTCTAGTTTAAGAGCAGAATAAGAGTTAATTTCTATACAAATAATTTATATTTTATTCTTTGTGTGCATGTTTATTCCAGAAGTTTCCTTAGTAGTCTAACGATGCAAACTGATTATCAGGATACAGCAATTCATATTGTTTGAGGCAGTGTCTATGACATTATGATCTTATTACTTACCAGATTATCAGATAGCCATTAAAATATGAAAAGTCCAATTTTCTGTTTTACAAATGATTTTGGGTAGAAGTATGAACCAGTGCAAGTTTTTGTTAAGAACCAGACAGGGCAAAACGTACAGAAGGGAATGGAATCATAAAGAGAAATAAATGCAGAGCTTTTGGTGCTGTAACTAATTTTGATTCTTAAAAAGAGGAGCAATAATATGTTTATGTATGGCTATATACATGCACATATATCTTTATTTAGATGATGATGACAGATATATTTGCCCTATATATTTGAACAGTTTATGAGTTTGTCATTAGGGCTATTTTCACTTCTGGAAAGAAAGTCTGAAAAAATGCTATGAATAATAATAGATGTACTTTGGGGAAATAATAAAGAGGTCAGGCATTCCAAAAGTGGCTGATTTTGTATATGTATGAAGTTCATGGACTCACTTTGAATCTGTAATATACCTCTTCCTGGCACCTCTTCAAAAAGCACAATAATTTATTGGAATGGGCTGATTGATTAGAGAGAATGATAAATCAAAAGATATGTAAATCTCTTTTCTCACATTGAGTATATCAAAGACCTCCAAATGTTCATTCTTAGGAGAGTGCAATAAACATGTGAGATCCAACAGTACTAAGAATGGGAAACTTTCTGTCTCATACTCTAATGTATTTCATGTATTGAAAACCAAGCAGATACTTTTTGCCCTTTGACTTTCTGAGGATTTCCAAAACATCAAATAGTTCAGTTCACTTTAGTGGGAATCTTATTATAGATTCTGCCAGAAGAAGTCCAATGTGACTGGTTTTATTAGAGTGATGCTTCAAAAGGCAGTCAAGTCTCCTCAGTTGAAAACAGTAGTAGTAGAGCCTAATAACAGTTTGCTTGGGTTAGAATGAAGCTGATTATATTATATTAATTATATGGTTTTCTCTTATTTTCCTTCTTCCATTATAATGCATAATTTTTGCAATATGCAGACATTGCAAAGGACCTAGCGTTGTGGGAAGAAGGAAGATTATCAAGAAATACCACTGGACAATCAACTCATATAATTCCGCTAGATCACCAAGGAAATTTTAAAATTACCCTTAGCCAGGATTCAGGACCAGTTCAGAGTGGGAAAGATATTCAGCTCCAGCTTCAAAGAAACAAATCACCACCATTATCCAGCAACAATAGCTTGCTAGTCTCCAGTGTTACAAACAGTGGACCTCAGTCTTCCAATACTCAGACCAACAGATCTTCTGGGCTGCCAACTCCCCTAAACAGATCTGCAACCCCAAATACTTTGTTACAAAGACTTGTTTCCCCTAACAACCAAGAAAACAAAGAAGGAACCATTAGTATGCAAAGAAGCCAGTCTTTAATATCAAAGAATCAACTGGGAAGGACCATCACCAATCCTGCAGGACATCTTGAAACAACTGGAGTTGCTCTAGGAAATATCACTCAAAGAAGCAGTATGTCCGAAGTAAGTTTTTTTAAAAAAGGAATTACAATACTATAACACAGTGTCACTTTATTTCTGTATTAGCCTTATAATTATTCTCTAATGCACTTATTAAGCTTTAAGATTAATTAAAAGCAAAAAATATCAGATTAGAAGGAATTCATTATTTATATTTATTATTTAATGCTACTTGCTGATAAACACTTAATTGTTTAATCCCAAAATTCTATATGCAGATGTATGTACACAAACACACATGCATACATGCTATTCATTCATGCGTATCCATGTATACATTTATGGAATTACTCTATTTTCCTTTTCAGTGTTTGGCTTGAAAATCAAACATATTGGCTAAATGCTTTGTTTTTTTAAAAAAATATTGGCCTTTGGTCATCTAAAGAAATTCATATGGCTGCATACAAGCAGGTTAGATCTCATGAAGGGAAAATATCCTAAGCAGGCTTTAATTCTTTCATGCTTTAATTAGCAATTTAGTCTCCAATTCTGTATTTTACCACTCATGCTAAGCTGTGATATAAAAAGTATACAGAACAATACAGTTCAGAACAGTTATATCACTTAGTTCCCTTGTTTTCCAGATTAGAGGCCTCTAGTGCAGTTTTCCATGCCCCATTTCCAATAGATGAAATGCTTTAAAACTCTTCTTTTCTTTATGGAAGAAACCACATTATAAACATTTTTAAGGCAGGGATACATGAAGAATTTGGCAAAGACTTGCATGTCAGCTCTGAAGTTCTTTTTGTAAAAAGTCCAAGGTTTTAGTTTTGCTATCCTGTCTGAAAGAATTATAAGTTGCCTGATGATCTGAACACTTGTACACATACCCTCAGCTCTGTTGGCATGGAAAATGCTATAGCAAACTTGCAGGTGTGTTACATTACTAGCTTAGTTCAAATTCAAACCAAGCAGTATAATATAGATAAATGTTTTTGTTATTGCTCCATTCTGTGTAAACTAATGCTTTGAATTCCTTTGTACATACATTTTTCTACATTTAGTTTTTAGCGTTCAAATATTTCTGTAATTGCAAGTGAGACAGATACATCTATACATCATATCATTACTGTTTCCTTCATTCTTTTATGAAGTATAGATTCTTTGGACCATTATTCTTTAGCGTCTGTGATAGGTCTTAGCACCTGTATATAGGTAGTCCTCAATTTACAACCATTCATTTAGCAACTATTTGAAGTTACTATGGCACTGGAAAAAGTGACAGTCATAAGTCATTTTTTCCAGTGCCATTGTAACTTCAAATAGTTGCTTGTGACTGGTACAGATACAATTATTGCACTATCCCCATGTTCACATGATCAAAATTAGAGTGTTTGGCAACTGTCATTACGTAGAACAGTTGCAGTATCCCAGCATCAAATGATTGCTATTTGCAACCTTCCCAGTCAGCTTCCAATGACAAAATCAACGGGGTGAATTAGGATTTGCTTAATGACCATGTGATTCACTTAAAATCAAGGTCGCCTTGGAGAGGCTGTGACTGGCATCTTCCATCATATTTGCAAGCTGATGAAGATCTGCATGAACAAAGACCCTGCCAAGTGTCCCAAATTTGACATGATTGTCCCTATTCTTGAAAAGATGCAGGAGCAGTGAGGGGCCAATCCCACTGGCTGGCTCTAAGTGCCTTCAGGAAGAGCCAAGTGCTGGAGCTAGGGCTCCCTGCGCACGGTACGGATAGGGGGCCAAAGGCAGGCTTTGGAAGGGGGCTGCTCGGCCTTGCACTCTCCCTGCTGCCTTCACATCCAGTATCTCCGGTCATCTCTTGTGCCAAGACCACCCTGCACTCCACCTGGCTGTGCTACAATTTTTATCTTTTCTACACAGGCCCAGGACAAAGCCCCCTGTGCCCCAAATAAACAGCTCTCACTGGGGGGGAAATTAAAATTTGCAGTGGTTCACTTAAAAACTGGCAAACAAGTTCATGAAATCAAGTGTGAGTCTCTTAACAATCACCTTGCTTAATAATGGAAACTTAGCCCCAATTGTGGTTGTAAATTGAGGACTTATACAGTATGTATTGCGATGACAAGAAAAGAAAACATCTGGATAACATGCTTTCATTTTCTAGTTTGCTAGTAGTAGTTCTACTATTAACATTGAAAGAGATTCTATATTTTTTTGTTTGAATATTGGTTTATTTATTTTATCCCTCTTTCTTCCTCATGGGCATAGGGAAAATTAAAGCAAACTTGTAAGAAAAAAAACATCATGATTATGTCTCAGGACATTGCAAATACTTTTCAGTCAAGAGGTTGCATAAAATTGTATACTGGCTTGGAAGTTACTCTCTAACCATTCTGAGCGTAACTGCCTTTTTCAGTGAGTTTGATTGGTATAATTTGTTTGTTTGTCACTTTTGCTGTCAAAAGAATATGCAGGCCTGCCTTCTCCTGTACCATTCAAACAAGTTTTTTTCTGTCTAGTTTTTTCATAGTCCAGGTTTAAGTATAGCACAATTCATAAATTCAAAAGAATCAATAGAAATCTAAAAGTATGATTGATTTGATTTTTTAAAGATGAAAAATGGAGGGTACTCGTGGAGGACAGATAGATAATGAGAGTTTCTGAATGAAAGACATTTCTCAGTAATGTCAAAAGTGATTTTTGAGGAAAAATAAACAGGGAGAAAAGGAAAGAAATGTAAGAAACTACCATGAAAAGGAATGACAGCAAAATGACAACTACAACACTTGTATGCAGAAGTATTAAGAGAACAGGTTTACTTCCAACAAGGTGAATGGTGAGTAGATATAAAGAAAAAGAATATAGAAGCTACTTGGAACTGAGTGAAAAGAATTATGTGTAGAATATCACAATGTATATTTATACTGATAATAAGTATGAAATAGTATGTTTGATGGAATGATCAAATGAAAAAAGACTAGGGATGAGAACACACATGTACAAATGCTGTGAAAATGAAAATGAGAAACATATATTGTGTGTTTCTCACACAATGAACTTAATCTAGATTTGTTTTATTTCTCTGAAATTGCTGCTCCTTCTCTGAAACGTCAAGTCTTTGCTTTGTTGGTTACCCAAAAAGTGCTTTATAATCTAAGATAATCATTTTTTATTGTCATGGACAAAAGTCTGTTTAATAAAAAGAAACATATTTGCTTGTTTGTCACTTGTTTCTCTTACAGCACTACAAACAATATAGAACTAGTGGCTAGGAGGTCATCCTCTTATGAATTCTGAATTGCCTTTGCAGCAGGGCCCCACAGTGTGAAATCATGTCCTTCCTGGTAGTTTTAAAATGTGAGCTATTGGCCTGAAAGAAATCTGGATTCTATTATAACTTACAGCTGTTCAGTGTATATCAACATTCATTTGTTTGCTACTTTTCTACACAGAGTTGACCTGTCAATGTGTCAGCTTTGTTAGGGATGTCATAAAGATTAAAGAAAGAGTAGAAGGTTAACCATATGAGTTTTACTTGATTAATTAAATTTGCATAAATTTACATATCCTGCATTGCTTCCAGTATATAGAATGCATGCCCTTGGGAGTGTGTTTGGCTCCATTCAATGTTTAGGAAATTTGTAGTGATCCAACTCCTTTGCCAAGGTTTTAATTGTTAGGTGATCTTGATATTGTATAGCATTTTTAAATTTCTGTATTCTGTTTTTGGTTTGAAATTTTATTAGCTGCCCTCAAGTTTCTGCCTGAATTGAAAGGTAGAATAACTTAAAGAAATAATAATATGATTAAACCCAAAAAGTCCTAGATATTCAAAAGTTAGTTCAAGAATTTCCATGAGGTCTTTTGCTAAGTCTTCTTACAGAATCGCAGTTCTCTACTTTCTCTGAGGTGATGATAGAAGATCTTGCTTTTGAACTCCTATTTTGTTCTGAAGGGGAGTCTTTCAAGACCTGAGGTTTGGATCAGCACTCAGCTTCCACACAAGTACATATCTAGTCTGATTTTGAGCAGATTCATTCAGCAAGAATAAAAAGCAGCATTTTACCCATTCACTCAGTTAAAAATTGCTGTCACTCTTGGTGTAATTTGGGATAAATATATTAAGTTAAGGCACCCCAGGACCAGGAAGGAGAGGCACAATTACTGATTTTACTGTCATGTTTCATAATTTGCTCCTTGCTGCATGCTGTTTTGAGAGCTTATATAACCAGAAAGATTTATAAGTTGAAAAATAAAGTAATAAATATTTTTTAAAAAATAGCATAATTACTTGCATTAGTTATACAGCCCAGGGTCTTTCTGTAGCATTTCAATTTGATTTCCATTGCTGTGTTTCATATATAATCTTGTAGATTAGGTAGCTTTTATATGCAGTCAGTTCAACATCTATTTTGTGAGACTAGAAATAGTTCTTAGACAATTTTACTGATTAATATACATTTTAAACATCCACAGAATTTCCCTTGCCTCCTCCTGAAAAATCCTTGAAATAGAGGAAGAAAATTGCCTGATTAATCAGGAGTACTTGTAATTGTTTTTAATTAAAGAATCAATTCGATTAATTGCAGACCTAATTTTTTGTCTTGACTGAATTGATTATTTTTTGTGGCAGGATGACTTCCTACAACAACTTCAGCTTGCTCACCAGCCATGGATTTTGCCAACTGATACTGAAAGTGAAGAAGCAGAAGCAAATCGAGATAAATGTGAGTGATTAATACCAGATTCATTGCTGGAGATAGAGACCTTGTTTTAATGAAATAATTTTAGTTGTGTACATTTTCTGCCTTCTAACTTGTAATAGAATTTTTGTCTTTGTTTTTTATTTATGGAAATAAATGTCTAGTTTTCTGGTAAACCTGTAAGGTTGAGAATAATCCAAAAATAATCTAAACTGCATCATTTGTTCTCTGTGCCACAAAATCAGACTTACCTCTTTTTAATGAAAGTGTCACACATTCACAGAACAGGGATTAAAAACTACATTGTGATAAAAACTTTTGATGAACACATTTGATAAAACATACTAGATGATTTAAACAATATTTGAAAAATATGAGTTCAGTTTAGAATTAGCAGATTTAGTTCTAACTGATAAATATTTCACTACCTCCTGTAACAAAACAGTAATACCTTTTTATTTGTCTGAACAGTTTTTGTTAGTGCAGAGATATAATTTATAAACTTGGGTGTATGGTTCTGCTGCTGATAAACATAATATAGAAAACATATTACATAACGTAGAGAATATATTACATACATTTATGTACTACAGTTTAGACAAGCAGCACGTGCTAGTTATCTTACTGTAGAAGGCTCAATAAGGTATACATGATGATATAGTAAACCTAAATAAGGTAGGTGGAAATAGGAATTATTCTGACAATAGCATTTGTTTAAAAGTCATAATAGCTTGTGATCGAAGAGGAGAAAACTGTGATTTTCTTAGCTATTTTTGATGTTATGGCTATGAAAGAACATGTTGCTTAACAGGTACTCATTAGCACCTTGTCAATAGAATTGGAACCATCTAAACATGGCATGTTGAATACAAAAACCCTGTCAGTTCTGTGGAAAAATATTAATGCTGGATAGAATTTAACATAATAGTCAGGTGGTAGGAGAAACTGGAAAAACTAAGCAAAGATTGAATCTGACCAGTTTCAGATTCCTCCAGAGAATAGCAGAACTGTAAGCAAAACTGGAAAGTGCCTTCCCCCCCACTTTTATTTTTAATTCTACAATGGCAAATTCCTTTTTTACTGTGCTAAGACATTGTAATTGCATGAAGTTGTGGGTTATTTTGGAAATACATATGGAATGGAAAAATATTTTAACTACATTGGGAAATTATACAGATATCATATAAATAACCATTTAAATATTTTAAAGTATCCTGTCTATTTGAAACATTACAATGTAAATAGCTGATTGCTCCTCCCTTTGGGGTAAGCAGATAAAACTAAATGTTAGTAAGAGTGTCCACAAGGTATGGTTAAAAAGTCAAGATGGTGGCCATGTCAGTAAGATCAAAGCTACAATTGTTTGTTAGGGGTGTCATATTTTCCTTAGCTTATTGTGGCATCAGAAACTAGTTCTTAGTTTATTATTTCCAACTCTGGGTACTGCTCAAAGTAAATGTATCCTTGCTGATTTTAACAACTTTCAAATTAGGAAGAACATAAGAAAAAATAAGCTGTATTTGTCAGCATTGTTCACATTCACTAGGAACAGTCAACAATTTGTCTTAGTTAGTAATAACCAAAATGGCCATTAGTTTGATTTTAAATCATTTTGTTCTCGAGTATTATGATTTTATTTAATTATTTCTTTTCCCCTGCTTTTGTAATGAGATACTGGTTTTATTTTATTTTATTATTTTATTTTATTAGGTGTTGAGGGAGTTGATATAAATAAATATATTTACAGAATATGCTTTGCAGAAATAGCAATAGCAATAGCACTTAAACTTATGTACCGCTTTGCAGTGCTTTATAGCCCTCTCTAAGTGGTTTACAGAGTCAACCTATTGCCCCCAACAATCTGGGGCCTCCTTTTACTGACCTTAGAAGGATGGAAGGCTGAGTCAACCTTGAGCCACTCAGTATTAAACTCCTGGAATGACCAATGACTTAGCCTGCTGTACTGCATTCTAACTACTGTGACACCACAGCTCAGGAAAGACATTACTACTTCCTTCCTCAATATATACAATCTACTATCATAGAATTCCTTTTAGGTTCAAGAGAACATATCAAATAGATTTTTATGTTTTTATTACAATTACAAATTTATGCTGATATATGTGTTTAGCATTTATTTAAAAAATGTATTGCTTTATCAGAAATGCTTGAATAAAATGTAGGCAATAAAAATAAGAATATACAGTAAGGAAAGTAGAGTTTTACAGTAAATATTTGCATTTTAGAAATGCTTAATTTTGTTCCCATTGCTATTTCAGACCAACCCACTGAATTATAAATAAAAAATCTGTTTCTTGCTGTCATGAACAAAAAAATCTGTTTATTCTAGCTTGAACAAAAGGCAGAGAGTGGTAAAACCTCCTTAACTGAAATAACAGCTACGTTCTTACAAAACTTTTAAGGCTGCAGTAGTTTGAAATCTTGATTTTAGCCAATATATCAATTTTCATAGTAGACTTTTATTTATTTAATTGGAGGTCACTCAAAATAGGTGGTTCATTGAAAGAGAACAAACATTGTTTGATCTGAGCAATATTGTACTGTGTGTGACATCTGAGCATGGCAAATTGGGTAAAAGAATAAGCCTTTTAAAAATAATTATATGGCTAATAGCAGCCATCTGCTTTTGGAATGCAGTCATTGTGGCCAAACTTACAAGTGAAGGGCAAGTCATGGAAAATGCAAGCTGCCAACATCCAGGTGTTGAAATGTTTGCAATGCAGAGAGCCAGGGAAACTCCTGGCAAAGTTTCTAATGCAAATTCCCTGTAAACACTGCAAGTGAAGGTCTTATCCATATAGCAAAAAAATGTTAGAAAAGTTAATAAAAGTTAATAACAAATCTGCATGGGCACTATATATGTGATTTAGTGTTGAGAGGGTTTTAAATTTCATAATTTATGATTGAGAACAGAAGAGCAGTAGACTTAATCTTCTCAATAACAGGTGTTTTTTTTTTACTCAGTTTTTAATCAATTGAAATCAGCATTCTTCAATTTCAGGATATTACAACAGAAGTATAAAGCTATTTTGGACATGGAAAAGATGATAGCAAATAAAACAGGTTTTTTTCCAATAAAAAGGATGCTATAGTAGTCTCAAAACTCTAGATTCTATTTAAATTATTTGTCTGCCCACATTAAATATTTAATTTTGTTAGAAAACTTTAATTGATTAACATTTTAAATTGTTTTTAAGTTTTGCATTTAAAATTTTGTGAAAAAGTTATCAATAGAATAATTTCTAAATAAAGGATGATGAAAACAATGTTGCTTCCTAAGCTCTACCCCTTTTGGCTGTATGTGCAATGTTGCTGCGCCTGAAGAAATGACGTGGTGCCAGCATTCCAATGTTGCAGCACAAATTTTTATCACACAGACTATCCTTACCATCCCCATAGAGGATGCTGAAGAATTTTTCATTTCTGAATGGACACTGAATGGCACTGATTGTTGTAGATTCTGCTTTTCCCTTAAGGCGGAATGTCCTCCCCCTAAGAAATTACATCAGTTTGTTTATGCTGTTAATTACACTGTAAATCAGCAGAATTGAGCTGATTGCAGTAGGTATGAATTTAATAATAATAAATTGAAGCAGAATCAAAAGCACAAAATATACATAGTGTTTTATTAGGACCAAAACCAATCACAAGTTTCCCAACTCATGTGTAAGCTACTCAGTTTGATTTTGGACTGATTTCTAAATCAGTATTCAACTAGAGGGACAACATATGTATTATGTATATAAATGTGTGTTTTTGTCTTTTGGAATGCACATTTTTAAATATTTTGTCTAATTTTGTTTTCTTGTAATTTTTTTTCTTTTTTGGAAGCTTGTATTTTAACTTTCTGAATAAAACAAAAAAATTATTGTGACAAAAATTACATTGGTTTGTTTATGCTGTTAATTACACAGTAAATCAGCAAAATCCAGCTGACTGCTGTAGGTATGAATTTAATAAATGAATAAATATGCTAGAACAAAAGAAGTAGAATCAAAAGCACAAAATATACAAAATAGTGTTGTATTAGGACCAAGGCCAACCATAAAGTATTTAATTCATCTGAATCCAATTTGATTCAGGACTAAATCAAAATCAGGAACTGTATGTCTTCTATTGCAATGAAAATCTTCCAATGACTATATGCATTTCCCAACTGAATTGGGTAAAATGTGCAGACATCATAATCGTTTTTAGGGACATGTATCAAGCAATGGGCTTCTTTTCTAAAAAGCCTGCATTTGTGATTGAGATTCACATTGATTCCTAATGCTGTAGTTTCTCCATCCTGAGACTGTTGCTGGAAGGCAATCCACAAACAATCTTATGCAGCTTATGCCAGGCTAGCAAAATCTGAATTGTCATTTTACTTTTTTTTTTTTTGAATGAAATTCTAAAATAAAATTGTCATTGTGATGCCCTGAAAATTGTTTTAAGTTTCAATTAACAGGATTGAACTGGGTAAATGGGACTTCTTCCTATAACTTTCTATGCCTAAATGAGTTGGATGGCATCAGATGGTTACACTGACTTCAGTGCAAGAAGAAGGAGGGGCAAATGAAGATGTGATATTATCAGAAAAGCATCAAGCAGTTGTTTCAAAGATATTTTCACTGATTGATTGACTAAGTGCCATCAAGTCATTTTCAACCATCAACTAGTGTCCACATCCTCTATTTTGATTTACCTTTGAAAAACGTGACCAATCCTAGCTCAATTTTAACTGAAATATCAACTGTTAATGGGACAGGTCACAACAGCAGACTTCCCGATATAACATATTTCTTATAAGAAATATTTCTGATAAGATTATTTTTACTAGCATGATAACACTGACCACAATCCAAGTCTCCAGTGCTGGTAATTATAAAGTATCAGTTATGAGATAGTGTTTCTCCATTATGCTTCAATTCTGTGCTTCAGTAATTAAATGGTCTAGACATTGGTATTTGAACATAGATCTTTTTAACATTTATATTGTGTTTTCTAATCTAGATGAAATGTTAATATATATTGCTAGTCCATATATGTTATGCAATACACTAGATAAATAAATAATAAATCTCCATTCTGAAATGAAACTATAAGCATTTTAAGCTATTTTATCTGAATGTGTAGTGAAACTCTGAATGCAAGGAAGATTTTCCATTTTAAAGTTCTGTTAGAAGGATTCCTAATTCATCTTGATTTCAGCACTGATATCCTTCATAGGAAATGCCAAGATAAACCATACTAGAAATATAAATGTTTAACTTGTCATTTGGTTTAAAAGAGCTTACTTACATTCAAATAAACATTCCCAATGCATTGTAAGCTTTCAGGAAAGATTTCCATTTCCTATACTCTATGAAATTTTTACTTCATTTGTGACCTTCCTTTTTAAACTCAGCAAAGCTGGAATGTGTAAAGAAAGATAAGTCTAAAACCTAATTTATTCTATCATTTATTTTGTATTTCTTTCCTTAGACATAATAAAAATGATACAGTGGGAAATGAATGCAAAGCCATAAACTTTCACTAAAGCTGGCTCATTCATTCTCTTTTGCTTTAGTTTTTTTCCCTACAGATTTAATGAACTGTATTAGGCAAATACTGGTGTTAAGCTGGCAATCATCATGTGAATGTCACACCCTGAGTCTTTTCTTTTTCCTTCCTTTCATTACCTCCCAAAGATGCTGTGACTACTCATATGCACATATATGTATCTTGAATTTGGATCTCTATATTTTAAAGCTCCATTATTCAACATACATAAGATTCTTGCTGCACCACATACCAAAGATTACTGCTTTGATAATTTGACTCAATTGTATTCTGTCAGCCCAAACCATCTCACAGGATGGTTGTTGTAGAGAAAATAGGTGGAACATTATGTATAACACCTTGAGTTATTAAAAATAAAGGTGCAATCAAAATCAAGTAAATAAATAAAATTGCCAAGCAGAAGAAGATGGGAAAAGGCACAGTTACTGGTATCTTCTAAATGTTTTTATGTAACATCATATTAACTTAATACTGTTGTGTGTAATGTTATTTAAATTTCATACAACACCTTGAGTTATTAAAAATAGAGGTGCAGCAAAAATCAAGTAAATAAATAAAATTGCAAAGCAGAAGATGGGAAAAGGCACAGTTACTTATATCTTCTAAATGTTTTTCTGTAACATCATATTAACTTCATACTGATGTGTGTAATGTTAAATTTCATGCTCTTGTTGTTTTCACTGTTCATATCATTATGCATATATTATGAAACAAAATTAAATATTCATATGAAGAATATGTATTCTAATTCTTTTATGGTTCTTTAATATTTAATAGTGCTTCATCCTTTTTTATTTTTCAGGCTTGTGAAAGAAATTGTGGATGCAATGAAGAACAATTTATCCCAAGTATAAAACATGCAGATAACTAGCTATTTTCATTTATTGTGCAATAAAGCTTAGTTTTATAAATGCAACATGTAATAGAATTATTGTAAAGTGTGGATGCTACAATGTACCAAACTCCAGATATTATCACAGTAATAGCGGCCATAGGTAAAGATTATTAAGAGTCATTTTTTAATGCATAGGTCTAATCAAATTCATTTTGTTTAATTTATATCTCTTGTTTTAGATTGACATTTGATATATTTAGCTTTGCCTGATGAAAATCACACCTCCTTAAAGATTTTCTGCATTTCAGATTTTTTATTCCTCATATTTTTATAACCTTGTCTTGTTTTTAATTCAATGAAATGTTATTTCATTTGACCACATTGTATGTGTGTAAGTGAGTGAGTGAATGTGTGTAGCCCAGCCAATAGGATTACTGTTGTTGGAAGGAATGGAAAATGAGTTATATATACTACTAAGAACCTCTATAGATAGAGCTCAGGGTAAATGGGCAGCTGTTCAGTGTAATACATTTAGAAATGAATGAACAATTAATGCGTGGAGGGTGTTTATATGCATGTGTGTATTTATTCAAGCATAATTTACTGAAATTAGTTTCACATTGTTACATGAAAGCTTTTACTTAGTGAATTATGTGGAATAATTTATGCATGCATAAATAAAATATTTTAATTTCAAATATGATATTATTTACTCAAATCTTTACTGCTTTAAGTATTTGATAACATAGGTTTGTGTTTTATATGTTTGAAACAAACATTTGAAGCAGATTGCTTTGGGCTGACTATGAAATTTGTCCCAGGAGTTATGAATGTTGACGTCTGCAGTATTCATTTACTTATTTCAACTGCGAGTGGAGATATGTTGCACTTAATTCAATGGCTTTTAGTAGGTATGCATAAGATTGTGTTGTTCAGTTAGACATGAGTTTGCCTTCTTTTCTTTTTGATTTCAGTTTCTGAATCACAGACTTACTACCGTTATAATAGTTATAAGTATCAAAATAATAATAAATAAAACCAAATTTCCTATCACAAATATTAAGATTGTGGCCTTTATTTTTTGTTATTCCAATGTTATCAATGATGAATAAGCATGTGAAGAAAATATATTTACTAGCTGGGTACCCCTTCTCTCCCTCAGGGGAAAGGCTGATGGAGAGAAGGGGATAGGATAGGGAGGCTTCTGTGGGGCAAGGCTAAGGGAGAGAAGAGGAGAGGAGAGGCCGATCGTAACTACTTATTAATTTTCAAGCTGTGTTGATTTATCAAGCCCCATCACATAGTTTCGTAGCAAAGCATGGGTACCCAGCTAGTATTTTATAATAGCACAATATAAACTCACTACACAATACAGTCCAAAATAACTTTAATGTACTAATAGCAGATAACTGAATTTTAAATGTTGGAAGTTAAAATACGGAAACTGATGACTCAATGGACCAACAGAGCATTTAATGACGGGCAGCATTTCCTGCCTTACTGCAAAAAATTAAGAAGATATAAATTTATTTTAGCAACATGATTTTAATATACTGAGTTCATCCATATGCCTACACTATAAATATTATTTGCCACTTTGAAGGATTCCCCCCCCCAACACTACTTGGATGTATCTTTGGGGAGTGGGGTGGCTATTTCAATGATAAAGATTCATAATCTTACATAAGGACAGTAGGGGCCCAAAAGCTGCCCATCAGTAGTTTTCTCCTAGATTGCAGATAAAGTACCATAGCAACATTGGCCACTTAGTCATGTTATTCCCCAATATGGAAAAATATGCTCACATTTAAATTATAGTAATCTATTTGCTATTCCTAAAACTCTTGTGTCTATAACCTTTAACTGGGCAAAACATTTTTTTGAACCAAGGTACCTCAATGGGCTAAATTTGCAGAATGCATCCAAAATCCAGGACACATGACTCTCATGGGATTGAAATTTGGCAAACTTGTGGGCAGTTCAGTGCTGCCATGCTACTGCCCAGAGGTTCATAAAGTAGTCCCGCCCTAGCCTTTGGAGGCCAGGTAGATCAGTTCCATTATTGGTTGCTTGAGGGTAGTCAGCAATGGACAAACTCACGGTTGATAATTGTTTTATTTGTTCATGATCCAAAGCTCTTCCAAATAATTTTCAGCTCTAGCTAACATTGTACAGATCTGGTATCCACTCTCCTCTGAACAGCAATAAATAATAATTTTCAGCAATTTTCAGCAATTTATGAAAAGGAAAAATAAGTGGAAGAAGCAATGAAGAGCTGCAAAGCTGTCTGGATTTCCTTTAATAAAATATGGTGAGCGGAACAGTTGATGGTACATCAAAGTCTTGCCTTGCAATTTACTTTGTCTGAAAAGACCTTCATGCTTCTATTTACCTGGGAGTATTTCAAGGATTTAAAAACCAAATTCAAATTCTGTAGATATTTTATTTATTTATTTATTTTATTATTCATATTTCTATGCCGCCCACTCTCCGAGGACTCTGGGCGGCTTACACCAAAGACAGTATACTAAATAGCATATTGGCCCCCAACAATCTGGGTCCTCATTTTACCCACCTTGGAAGGATGGAAGGCTGAGTTAATCTTGAGCCGGTGAGATTTGATCTGCTGATCTGCTGAACTAGCAATCAGCTGAAGTAGCTGCAGTACTGCACCCTAACCACTGTACCACCTCGGCTTTTAAAAAGATATAACAATTTATGTCGTTAGTAAGCATAGCAGAATATTGTTCTTCTTTATTGTTGTACATTTCTTATTGGTGCCTCAGCAAGTCACAATTTCTTTTATCTTTCACTGGAAAAGTAGTTTTTTTTTATTTAACAGAAACCCTCATTTTTACACCTCCTGCTATGTACCAAACCGCTGCCTAATCTGTCCAAATAAAAATCAGAATGAATGAAGTAGATAAAAAGATTTAAGGTTTACAGGGATCAGGAGAAAAGCCTAAATCTGAGCACCCTACTATATACACATCAAGAGTTTTAAGCATATTAAGAACTAAAGGTACATTTATTTGCTTCTTGGGTGGCTAAAGTTTGTCTTTTCTCCTTTGGTGCCAGAAGGAATGGCAGAACCATAGCAGATTTGAACAGAAACAGCTTTACTGTTGAAAACAATAATTGAAAACAATTAGGAGTTCTCAATCTAAAATTTGTTTTTGATCATATTTAAATTCAGAAAAGGAGATGATTGCACTTGGGTTATATAGATATATGTCTATCTGTCTGGCTGGCTAGCTAGCTAAATAAATAAACTATGTGTGTGCCTTTCTTGTGAGACCACCCCAGCAAAATGAAAAGGCATTAACACATGCTATGTCACAACCAGACATTTCTTCTTAATTCTTTGCAGTTGATGATTTTGTTTATGGTAATTAAAATGATACCAACATTATACTTAGTCACTTCAGCAAACAGATTATAAAGTCTGGCTCCTTGGGTTTAAGGACTGGAAATAGAACAAGTAAAGTCAGGCAGCGTTAATTATTTCAAATTATTTCTGTGCAACCCTGCAAACTTTCAACACTGATCTGACTTTTCTCAAAACGAGTACAGTCAAATGATACCATTTGAGTACCATTCCTTAATCTTGCACAATTTTTTGCATAAATAAAAAGGAATAAATTCAATAGCTTTGTGTTAGTTCTTCCATTTTTTTAAGTGAACACACTTTAAATACATTCTGGAGAACATAATGGATTAGAATTTCTGTTACAAAAGTTTGGGTGAAAAAACAAGACTCATATTTGTGTTAGCATTTCAAAGTGCTTGCAAAGGCCCAAGCCTTGAGAGATTCTTTGTTAAGAAAGGTTTGTTTCTCCTCATCTCCTTTACCATCATTTCCACAATCTGCAAGGTTGCAAAACTTTCTGTCATTTTCAAAATAATGAATCAGAATATCTTCATTTGACATTTATGTTTTAGCATTCACTTCGACTGAGAAACTATCTTCCAGAAAAAAGAATGGTACATGTGAAAAAATAAACAGATGCATGCATACACAAATAGCTTCATCACTTGAGACTTTCAAGAAAAGATTGGACTGCCATTTGTCAGAAATGATGTAGGGTCTCGTGCTTGAGCGGGGGGTTGGACTAGATGACCTATAAAGTCCCTTCCAACTCTGTTAATCTGTTATATCTGTTATATCTGTTACATGTATACATAGATACATATTATTTCTGATATTAATGGGCTATATGTGACATACATTAAAACTTCAGGATACATATCTACAACCTTTTATAGACATCAAAGTAAGTTTAGACCAACAGAAGATGCAAGAACAATTCATTTTCAAGGAATTCCTGTTCTAAAGAATAATCACAATTTTATGTGATTATCTGCAGTAAATGATAAAACCAAGTTGCGTATGCTGCTCCAAAAAACAGTTTTATCTTATTTGTTGGTAAAATGATTAAACTCCACTGAACGAATGCTATAGCAAATTCTGTAACTAATACTCAGAAATCTGTCCATTAAATTTTGTGGTGTTACATATTTCCAAATGCAAAGTTAGATTCTAGTCACTGAGTTGGAGGATAGTTGCACTGAAAAGGGATGGCTAATTAGTCACAATGTGGAAAGCATTCAGAAGTACTAATTCCTAAATGGAAATGAAGGTGGAGACTGGGAAGAAGATTTTTATATGCATATATTTTTGTCCAATATAATTAGTATCTCTCTCAATAGAATTTTATGAGGTAATCAAACCATTCATGCAGTGTAATTCTGGAAAAGCAAGGGAAGGCGACAGACCTGGGAAAAAAACAGGTCAATTCCAATGTACTATATATAGAGCGGTATACTCTATACTATACTACTATTTATATACTGAGCAGTGGCTCAGTGGCTAAGAGCTTGTCGATTGAAAGGTAGGCAGTTCAGTGGTTCGAATAACGGTAACGGGGTGAGCTCCCATTACTTGTCCCAGCTTCTGCCAACCTACAGTTCGAAAGCACGTAAAAAATGCAAATAGAAAAATAGGGACCATCTTTGGTGGGAAGGTAACAGTGTTCCGTGCGCCTTTGGCATTTAGTCATGCCGGCCACATGACCACAGAGACGTCTTTGGACAGCGCTGGCTCTTCGGCTTTGAAATGGAGATAAGCTCCATCCCCTAGAGTCAGAAACAACTAGCACATATGTGCAAGGGGAACCTTTACCTTTACCTTTATATATAGAGCCTGCATATTTATTGTATATGAAATCTTATGTTCAGGCTTGTTAGAGAGTTCTAAAGAATTTGGTTCATGAACCTATTTACCAACGGCAATGAAACTGTTCAACAGACAGTGCAACCTTAGTGATTCAATTCTGTTGTATTTACATTTAAACTTTTATTTGTAAAAGATAACTTGTATCCTAAGTTTCTAATAATCCATGTGTAGCTTTAAAAAGAATAACACTGCTATTACTGAATAGACGAATAGAAAAAATGAAACATTTCTTATTACCTGTATTTTTACAGTAACTTTATCTTTTATTTTCATAAAATCTGTTTGGGTTATTGATCTATAAAGGCTAGGACCTCTTGGAATATGAAGTTCACAAATTGGGGATAACATAGCATTATCAGCTTCCTTTCTTAGGTACATAATATATCTAGACCTGAGTTCCCAGAGTTGCCGTACTGCATGAAGTTCTGGTTTTCATACATGGAGTCCACAATCCTCCGTGTGATTTTAGACTAACAGTTGTTGGTCTACTATGTCCTGTTTTAATCCACATGCACAATGGTTTTAAGAGCTTTATTGAAAGTTCAAGCCCCAAATGGGAATCCCCAAGACCCCACTTGCACCCGCTTGCAAAGTCCTAGGAAGTCCAACACTGGTCCACCAGGGTACAAGGCTACCAAGTCCATGGGCAAAGGCAAATGCAAAGTCCAAAGAGTCCACCGTCCAGGTCAAGTCCAAAGTCCAAGGCAAAAGTCCAAAATCCATGAACAATCAATCGTACCACAATCCGAGGTCAAGAAAAGCAAGAGCATGAGGAAGAAATATGCATATGGCAAGGAAATGGGCAGTTGTTTCCAACAACC